ATCAGAATTATCCAGGTTATTGTGGGGGGGCTGCTCTGAATGAGGGGAAGGGGATGTCAATTGACTTTCACTAATCTATTGGGGTAATGAAGATTGCTTGTGTAGTGTGGCTCAGGCATCTGCGGTGGGTCAACAACGTTAGAATCATGGCTGCACCTGTAGGACTGAAGCCCTGCCCTTTGGAATGTGGTGCAGTTGCGGCCACCATCTTTGTTGACGTGCCCCTGCAGATACCCCAGGTGTGATGCTGTCTCTGTAGTTCTTCCCAAGGAGCAGAGCTGAGAAGTGACAGAGAAGGCGGGATCCGGTGTGGAGGGCCCAGAGCTTAAGTAGCAAAGGCTGCAGTCCTGAGGCATGGCAGAGATGAGCTGGAGGTGAAAATATGAACCAAATGCGGTAGATAATTGAACTTGTGACAAGGATTCTCTTCCTCACTGTGATACATCCTGCCCTCTCGGTTCACGTGGCCCACTCTCCAACCTGTCATTCAGGCACTCTCCTTCTCTCTCTCATCTCCCCCTTTGTAACAGCTTTTCAAGGGCCCTTGTGTCCTTTTTTCCAATGGGCAACAGGTACTTTAACTTTTTTTTAAGTGGACAATTTCTGTCACACGCGTTGCCTATGACTTGGCTATGGAAGCAGTGGCTTTGTTGGGCTCCACTGAAGTTACATTTGACAGGATGAAATAAATAATCCATGCGTAAAATACCCAGCGCAGAGTTAAGGGGTTGCTGTGGGGTTGGCTCTGGAACAGAGGAGCAAACGGTGGGCAGAAAATGGTTGGTTTTTAAACGACATTTGAGATGACAGCAACAGAGATGCACACAAGCATGGAATGGGGCTTGACTTTTTAGAGTTTGTTACTACACATAACTGCAGAATTAAATGGAACAATTAGTTCCATGATTGGGAAGCTGTATCTCCACTGAGGCAGCCTAAAATTGCATTTGCTTTGTTTGTAACCACTGCATACTGCTGACTCATACTTAGTTTGCAAAACTAATATTCCAAGATCTTTTTTCGCAAGTCCTCTTACCAAGTCAGGCCTCCCTCACCTTAGACCTGTGCAGTTGATCTTCATTTCCTAAGTGAAGAACTTTGGACTTGTCTCTTCTTTAAGCTGTTTCTGTCATCTGGGCAATTATCTATCCCATCCCATTTTCTGCCATCTGCAAATATGATATGCACTCCCTCTTCAAAGAAGTCATTGATAAAAAATACTTACTATAAAACAGTGAAGCAGGGTGGCAATTGGCACCCTCAATTTCAGTGCTATAGTTCAGAGTTTCTCAATCTCAGCAACTTTCAGAAGTATGGACTCCAACACATGCTGGTTGGGGAATTATGGGAGTTGAAATCCACCCATCTTAAAGTTGCTGAGGTTGAGAAATACTGCTGTAGATTATTTAAGCGTTCAAAGTTTGAATCTTTATCACTGATAAGGCGAAGGCCACAAATGGAATCCGCTGAAAAAGCCAGCTATCCTCAATATGGGGCTCAGCCTGGAGGACACCAAGTTGGGGAAGACAGCTTGACTCAATTCATTGGGCTTTCTCAGAGACGACCTCAGTAAGGTTTTGACTTTCCAGCCTAAACCCTGTGAGGCCCAGATCAGAAGCTGCTCAGAAGTAGTGCTTCTCTAGTGCTTTCTGCCCTTACATAGATATGTCTCTCACTCTCATATATTCAGTGCAGCAGATCCTGAAGTTTAATGACAGTTGGCCAAAACGCCATGGGCATCTGCAGTAGAGATGGAGGGAAGTGCTATCGTGGGCATCATGACATGATGCAGATTACATAATCTGCATCATTTGTGCAATGATGTCATTATGTGCATGACATCGCCATGGCTTGTATTGGACTCTGAGGCACGGAGCACAGTCATTGCATTTCAGAAAAATGCCTCCATGCATGAAAAGGAACCATGTTCTAGTGCTGGGCAGCTTCTGATCTGGGCCTCACAGGGTTTAGGCTGGAAAGTCAAAACCTTACTGAGGTCGTCTCTGAGAAAACCCCATGAATTGAGTCAAGCAGTCTTCCCCAACTTGGTGTCCTCCAGACTGGGCCCCATATTGGGGATAGCTGGCTTTTTCAGGGGATTCCATTTGTGGCCTTCGCCTTATCAGTGATAAGCATTCAAACTTTGAACCGTTAAATATATGTTTTTTTAAAAAAAGAGGTATCCTTGAAAGTTGAAGATAAATATACAGCATATAGGACTATATCCTTGAGTGTGTCATTATATAGTCCTTCTCCTGAGTGCTCATTGTCTGCATTAAATGGACAAACTTAGTGGGGCAGTCAAGGCATCAGGAAGCAGTGGAGTAACGGGCCAGGTTAGACTCAAGATACTGTCAGGTGGAGAAGCACTTGTGCTATTAAACAAACTGACTTTTTGCCACCACCATCAATCAGGGACCATTGTGCTGTATCCCAGCTTCTTTCTGCTGAAATTCGGAGGGTTGCTACAGTTTTTAGGCAGGGAATGATGCCACAGAAGCAACAGGGTTGTGCAAATAATGTTGCATGGGGCACTATGGGCAGCCATTGAAGAGAAGGCTTGGCTTGGCTTGGCTTGGCTTGGCTTGGCTTGGCTTGGCTTGGCTTGGCTTGGCTAATACTGTGGCAGTAAATTTCCGCATAGCAGTGGAGATCAGGGTTATTGGGTAAAGAAGTGCAGCAGACAGAATGGAAATTGCCAGATTGATGTATGTTCGACCTGTCTGCGTTCTGATGCAAAAGTGAGTGGGTGAGATGAGATACATCTTACTGGCCAAATGGCATGCTCTCATTTGTCTGTCCCTTCTTTAGATTTGCAAAGAAGTAAGTGTACCTATTCCTGATTCATCCAGGTAACCATAAATAGTCAGAATAGCCTGCTCAAGCCCTGCTTCATTTTCATTCATTCATTCATTCATTCATTCATAGGCTGGTTGCTTAGAATTTCTCTAATTTGGTCCATAAAAAAGTGTTTTTTGATCTGGAAGATGTGTGTTCACACTTTACTCAGTCCCTGATTTTGGTTAAATCGCTATGTTGCCCTGCTGTTGGCAAAATGAGTTTGGGAGGGTTGGAATGGATTAGAGAGCGTGACGGAGATGCAGACTGGCAAGTATGCTAGAATAAGTGGGAGATGCAAAAACAAATGGGTTTGGGGTTTATTTTTTTCTCCTGCAGCAAACAGTGTGCTCAGTCCTCAGTGATCTATTTTGGAATCCCTCTCCCTACACTTTTCCAAAATAGCTATACTTCTGCAAACTTTGGCATTTTCCCAAACTAGTTGATACTTCCTACTTGTGTGTGGGTGGTGCCCTTTTGGCTCGGTAATGATTGGTGTTCTGGAAACAATGACTTTGCTACTACTACTACTTATGGTGATTAGGATTAGACAGATCTTCAAGGGGCTGCTTTGCTTTGAAGAAGGCTCATGTGAAGCCCCCCCCCCCGAACCAAGATGGTCCCCTCGCTTCCAAGAGCAGGGTGAAGTGGTTGTGTTGCTTCTTTCTGCCTCTCCTGACCAGCAGTTGCAATAGCTGGAAGGAAACTTTGCCCCAGGCACCTCTTCCAACTGGTGCAAATGCTGGTCAAGATAGGCCAAGTGATGCAAAGTGTCTCATTAGCCTCCATTGGGTCACCTCTTTGCCTTGAAAAGAGAATTGCATGGCCTCCCTGGGACAGAGTTCTTCACTGAAGTAGATCCAAGTGGTTTCATACATGCCTACTGATGATAGTTCTGTTAATATTTTTTTTCTCTTCCACTCAGAGTTCTATATCAGATGAAGGGCAGAGTCCTGCAAGATGTTCCCTTGTGCCCATCCTCTTGGAAGTAGACACCTGCTTACCCAGGCCACTTTGGTGTTGGGCTGTCCTCTGTGACTACAAAGAGACACCTGATATTTCCAATTAGGTAAAACCAGCCACGAGGTATTTTAAGTGCCAAATGAAATATACAGTGACTTTCCAACTTGTCAGAAGAATAGCTAAATTTCCAATAGCAAAGGATTTATAGACCTGAAAGTGAAAGACCTGCATGCAAATCGTGTTCTTTCTTTCTTTCTTTCTTTCTTTCTTTTGGCCTTGTCTCCAATGCTATCAAATTCCTAAGTTTTAAAGAGAAATATTTTGTAGCATATTTTGTTCTCTCTATTCGCTCCATCCCTCTCTTACCTGCCTATGTGCTGAAAGGATTCCAACACAGCATGGTGTGTATGAATTAGTACGTGCATGTGATCTGCAAAATGTGAGTGTATGTAAGGGCAGATATTCATGGGCCCTCCAATGTAGGTATGTGTGTGGGGTGTGCGCGCGTGTGTATATGTGTCATGCTTGAGCCCTAACCCATGTATCCTGTTATAGAAAAGAGCAAAAAGCAATTGCCTGAATCCCAGGCAGCTCTTGATGCTACAAAATATTTTTCTTTGAAACTTCGGAATTTGATAGCATCAGAGGTTCAAACCTCTCCCACATGCCTACCATGAGGAATTAATCTCACCTTCTCTTTTGTAACCCCAAGCCATATATTGTTTAAAACATAGTGGACTGTGAATACCGGTCCTGTTCCCTTCCTCTGGACTTTGACCTCATGGTATCATTCTGTTGGTTTCCTAGGGACAGTGATGCCATATCCTTGCCTGCACCCTTGCTTGAATGTCCTGCCTTGACCTGCAATCAAACACTTTCCTTCTTTTGTTCCCATGTAAATGTGAGACAGCATGTTTGGACTATCCCTATGCTGTAAAAGCCCCTGTTAACGTGCAAATCTCTAGGTGACAAGAAGCTCCTCCAACGGTAAGACCAGCCAGCTGTCAGCCAGGAAGGGACCCAACCAGTGCAGCCCTGAGCTCAGCTACCTTCCCTGATGGAGTCAAAGAGGGTGAACATGGATGTTCATTCAGCCTCCTAGGTGTCATTTTGTGAGACCTTGCCAGTGAAAGAGGCGCTGAACAAATTTCTATATCTGGGCCAGGAATTTCAGGGGGAAGCGATGAACGACAACCTCTGAGAAGATGGAGCCATTTATGAATGGATTTCCAGCCTTCTGGATCATCCTAGCCTTTTGGTTTGTGTTGTCAGGTAAGGGACAACAACTCTTTTCCCTCCACCACCTCAATTCTAAAATTATTTACCTCCATCTTTAATCAAATTCCAGTATCTTATTATGCAGATCAGTGTGGGATGTGATTAATGGGATGTTGCGAAGGAATGCATAAACAACAGTAAAGAGAAGAAGGTTTGAGATGTCCCAATAAATGTCAATTAGCTAAAGAGAATTTCTTTAATTTCCCAGTGGGCATCTTCTGGACTCTCTAAAAGGTTTCAGGAACAGGAGAAATGATTTTATATTGGTTTTACTCCTTCCTGAGTAGGCAATACCTGTCAGTAGTGATGGGGAAGAGTGGTCCAGACTATGGTCCCTTTCATATGGGGTGCTGCAGGCCTCCATCCTCTAACCTACACTATCTAACCTACATACACTAACTTACACTATCGATGTAAAGCTGCTGGGAGAGGTCATCTATTGGTTTGGGGTGAAGTAGCATTAATTTGTTATGATACTCGGTTGTACATCTCTATCCAGAACCAAAGAGGAGATGCTGTGGAAATCCTTACCCAGCATCTGGCGGCTGTAAGGCTCTGGATGGGACAAAAAGAGTTGAATCTTGATGAGACAGTGTGACTGTTCAGTGACTATGTAGTGGTTGGGTGGTTCCCTTGCAGGCTTTGGAAGAGGCTGTCCTCTATCCAAAGGAGCTTGTCTATAACTTGGGAGGCTCCTGGATTCATAGCTTCACCTAGATTTGTAGATCAAAGCTGGGATTAGGAGTAACCAACGCTGGCCGATGGGCCAATTGCAGCTTTCTAGAGTAGGAATCTCTGGCAACAGTAATTCACGCCCTCATGACCTCCAGACGGGGTTACTGCAATTCACTTTATCAGAGGCTGCCCTTGATGACTACTAGGAAATTGCAGTTGGTGTAAAAAAGGCAGCAGTATGTGTGCTGATGTGCCAGTCCATTTAGCAATGGAAGATACGTTTTGTGGATCTTGCACAAGTGCAAATCAAGGTGTTAGTTTTAACTTATAAAGTGCTGAAGGGTAAAGGCCCAGGATATCTAGGGGACCATCTCCTCCAAGCTGACTCTGGCCAGCCTGTTTGTACTGCTTAGAAAGGGATGATTCATCTTCAGGACCATCTGTGGGGTGGGGGGATCACTCTCAAATGGAGTCCCTAGATCTGCTTCTTGTCCCATAGGTCTTTCCTGCACCCACAACTTCATACCTTTGATGCCTTTTCCAAAGGTTTTATTTCTTCTCATTTCTTGGGGATACCCTTCCCATCCACCCTCCATTCGGTCTGTCAGAACCCTTTATCTCATTTTGTGATTTTTAGCTCTGTTTCCATCTTTTTGCTTAACCCCCCAAGGCCTCTTTCCTACCTCCTGTTAATTACAAATTCTAGGCAGCCAGATTCCTAGCACACAATTTATTTCCTTGTTTCTCATGACAAATCTCAGGAGTGACCATGGGTGGGGGAGTGTCAAAACCAACAACATGGCAGATGAATCATTACAACCCAAGTTTCGCCTCTTTTGAATTGTGTGATGCATCTTGAAAAGGGTGGGGCTTGCATCGCATCCCTCTGCCATCGTGACAATTTTAACCCCTGCCCCTGCTTGTGCTGCTGTCAAATCTCTCCCAACATGTGGCCAGTTCTCACTCTGAAAGAGTCTCAGCAGACTCAGGTAGGCAAAATATGGCTTGAGTCCTGACATGTACGAATGTAGCAATAAATGTACGAACAGCTACAAAACAAGTGAAATGTCTTTCTGCAGTTTCCCCCATCAGCTGTGGGGTAACAGATGGGGTCTCCTGCATGCTTCTGATAGTGTTGATTGCACAAGCTCCCTCTTGTACCATCTTTCTTTCAACGCTCCCCAAATGAGTTCACTTCCAGAGATGAGGTGCTATGTCTGTATTTCAAATCCACTTGCCAACAGCAGGAAAAAATTAATCTGGGTAGCCAAGGGCAGGTACATGTAGTCCCCAGTTTAAGAACAAATTCCATTCCCAAGGTCTGTCCTTAAGTCGAATTTGTACGTAAGCCGGAACAGTATTATTGCATAATACTGTATAAATAGTATTGTGTAATGAACTAGAATCATTGTGTATTTAACTCGATTCATTCTGTATTTAACTCACATTTTGCTACAACAGGCTCCGTTCTTAACTATGGGTCATTTGTAACCTGGGCATTCTTAACCCAGGGACTGCCCATAAGGCCTCTCAGCTGCACAAAGGCTACCTTTCCTTCGTGCCAGTCTGCCCCTGGGGACAGGGAAAGCCACCCATTGATTCTGTGGCTCTAGCTTTTCCCTTTCGGTGGATTGGTTTCTTTCCTGACAGTTATCTGGCACAGTATTTTGTCACTTGATTTGTCCAGATCCATGGTCTGCCTCATCTTGAAGAACCAGCATGTGAATTTGCAAATAAATACATAAATGCCATTAAAAGCAAACACCCACTTAAAAAAGAAAGCATCCAGCAAAATCACAGGAGACAAAATCCAGGACACTAATGTTGTTTTGTATCAAAATGCATTTATTTATTTATTTATTTTATTTTATTTTATTTTATTTTATTTTATTTTATTTATTTAATTAATTTAATTTATATTTCAAATTTGCCACCCGCCATCTCACTGTGAAGTGACATTTGTGTGACATACAAGGCATCAGGCTAGACACCGAGAGACCGTGAGTTTTGTCTTGCCTTAGGGTGACCTTGGGCCAGTCCCTCTCTCTCAGCCCTAGGGAGGAGGCAATGGCAAACCACTTCTTGAAAACCTTGCCAAGAAAAGTGCAGGGAGTAGTCCAGGCAGTTGCCAGGAGTCAAAAACTGACTTGAAGGCACGCACATATATACTGTAATGACCCTGGTTGGTGCACAATACTAAGAACAGTTGAAAACATTATAAACAGCAAAAGAACAATAGATCAACTCTTCATCCTCCCCTTTCTTTGTATGGTTGTTAATGTTTAACAACAAGAATCAGGATAGAAAAGGCTTCTTTTACAAGCTATTTTAGGAGAGCTCTGCAGCTCCCAGAATTGCCATCTCCTTTGGCCATCTGAGAGGCGCAGCCTTAAGATCTCTGACTGAGAGGAAGCACAGCTGTGAAGGGCTGTGAAGATTTCATTTTAGTCTTTCCTCTGAAACTGTTCTGCTCCTTACATGGCCAACCCTGTGTCACTGGAACTCACCTGTGGGACCTTGGCCATCAGATCTAGCCTAGCTGTTTTCTTACCACTCTCATCCTCCCTTCCATCCTGGGCAAACTATGGTTCTTCGCCTTCATCTGCTCTTGTTGTATAACTGCTATTAAGAGCCATAAAGGAGTAATCTGGTGACCCAAGCTACAATTGGCATCTTGACTTTTAAGACTGCCCTGCAGACATTACTGGATCCAAAGCTAGGAATTATAATGATACAGCTAAACTTCTGCATTTTCTGTTATTACTTGTAGCAATATGAGGTTTATATCCTTTCCTTCAGCTTTGTTTGTCTTCTTGAGCTAGTAAATTTCCTTTTTATGCATGCAAACTTCTGCTCAAGAGCTTTGCATTTTTGTGTTTTTCTTCGTATAGATGTGTTTTTGCATAATAAGGAATAATGTATAGGTGCAGGTTCCAGTAATGCCTATCACTAACTGGTTTAGAGAGTTTGTTCTCTTTTTCTCAGTCTCACCCATCATTTGTTTGGGATATTTTAATGTGGATGCCTGCACTGAGCAGAATGGCCTCTTCTTCCAGCTTTAGGATCCTAGAGATTGATTGTTTGATTTAACAAATTCATATAACTGCCCATCTACCTACAGAACCCATGTGTGCCAAAATGTTCGCTACCTTACCTCATGGTGGCTGCAAAAATTACCACAATCTCATGAAAGGTCACATCAGTATATAAGATCTTCTGGATTTTGATGTGTTTGCATGAGACCTTGAGGTGAGATGGCTTAACTCTTGCATGATAGTATCAGTCTTGCAAGATTCAGAGGAGGTGGAGGGAATTTTCTTATTTATTTGAGCCACCTAAGCCATTATGCAAGATCGTATATTAACACTCAAGGCTCAACAAAGTTGCTGACTTCGGGTTTACAGAGTTGTCAGAATGATTAATGTAAGAGATGTGAAGGATTGCTAAGCTTAAATATTTAAAGAAGCATCTGGTTGTGTTTGAATGTTGATCTCAATATTTAATCTCATTATTTAAATTTATTTAGAAGTTGACTTGCAATACTTATTTTGGAATATTTGAGAGATGATATCCCAGTTTTTTTAGTTTGGTTAGGCTGACCATAACAAGCTTGCCTGTTCCGTTTGTAGATTCTGCATCTGTCCAAGGCCGGACACAGACCCAGGCAGAAGAACGACTCTTCAGATATCTTTTCAATGCTTACAACAGGTGGTCCAGGCCAGTCCCCAATACCTCTGATGTTGTTATCGTCAGATTTGGACTTTCCATAGCTCAGCTAATTGATGTGGTAAATATACAAAATGGCACTTGATCTTTTTTGTAGAACTTTCAGCAAAAATATTTGTAGCTGAAGAAAACACTCATTAATTGTATTCTCAAGATACTATGAAAATAGGAGAAAGGATTCAGATTAAATCCCTCTTTTGGAATTGACGTGCTTTCAAAATGAATTTGTCTTGATTTTTTTTCTTTGAAAATAATTTGCGTTATAGGTATCATGGAACACATGTTGCAGAAAACAGTCAGGGACATATTTTTCCTTAGATGTTATGGAAAACACAACCAGTTATAACAACCATTCTCAGATGTCAAGGAGAAGGCATCTGTGCACTTCACTCTGATGAGAAAAGGGAATAGCTGTCCTTAGAGTTACCAGAGTTCATACAACTTGCTGAACCTAGACTAACAACATATGATTGCTGTATTCTTGGAATCTGCTGTGCCCAAACAAATGAGCCACTTTATGCTTAGTGCAATGGCTTGGTTCACACAACCTGCTAAGGCAACAGCTGAGTTCCTACTACGTGCTGTAACCCCCAATTTTACCCTAATCTAGCATACTGATCAAGACCAGCCATACAAGTGCAACATTTGGTCTCCTTCTTTCTAGGGTTAAATGCAGTGACAAGAGTTAATTTGTGTCTTTCTAATTTCAATCCAAATACTTTTTATTTATTTTTTTTCTTTGCCTATGAAGGATGAGAAGAACCAAATGATGACCACAAATGTTTGGCTGAAGCAGGTAAGCAGGACAGGTATAAATCTGGTGGGAAGTGAGACTCCAAGGATCGATTACCCAAACGTAACAACATGACATGGATCTTGTGCCACTTAAAAGGGGTCATGGCCTCCTTTGCTCTTTCACTTCTAACAGATAATCCAGAGGGCATTACAGCAACCCTTGTGTTGCGTTTCCAACTTTTTTCTACATCTGAATATAGCTGGTGTCTACCTACAGGCTGTCCAGTTTGTTGCATTTTTCAGGGCTATGGCTTGTTTATTTAATCCTTTTGAAAAGCCAAGGAAGACAATGTCTGAGGTGAACATACCATCACTATGTTCCTACAACCAAGTCCAGTAAAAAGAGCAGATGCTTTTGCACAATGTGCTCTTGGTTAGTGTTAACCTTGATTATGTTTTTGTGGGTTGGTGTGTCCTATAAACCTAGCTTATTTGCATAGTTTATGATTCAGTGTATTCAGCAAATTCAAAATATGGGTTAATTCAACCAGAGAATGTGAAAAAATAATATATCTAAGAACATTATACATGTCTACCCCATGCCAGGCAAGTGATGCTGTTTAGATGCGGCTCAGTGCCTGAAGGCTGTAACGGCCCCGATGGGAGAAACTGACTGCAACTCAACCCTAGCAAGACAGAATGTTGTGTGTTTTTGGCCCCTGGGGTGAGGAGAGTTTACATCTATGACTCTGGATGGGGCAACACTCCCCCATATAGATCTGGTGTACAATTTGGGAGTCCTCTTGGACTCACGGCTCCTACTGGAACAGCAGGTAGCAGCCATGGCTGGGGGGCTTTTGCACAAATCTGTCTTGTGCACCAATTGCACCTGTTTCTGGACTGGGAGACCTTGCTCACAGTCACCCATGACTTAGTCACTTCCTGCTTTGATTACTGCAGCGTGCTCTGTATGGGGCTGCCCTTGAAGACCATCCAGAAGCTGCAACTGGTCCAGAATGCAGCAGCATGTGCAGTTTTGGGTGCCCCACAGTTCACACAAGTAACCCCACTTCTGCATGAGCTGCACTAGCTTCCAGTTGTTTTCCAGGTGCAATTCAAGGTGCTAGTTATCACCTTTAAAGCCCTTCATGACACAGGGACAGGTTACTTGCAGGACTGCCTCTCTCTGAGGGCATCTGCCTGTCCTACTAGGTTAGATTGGGTGGATGTGCTCCAGGTCTCCTCCCTTAAATGTTGCCATCTAATGGGGGCTTGGAGACACGCCTTCTCAGTGGCTGCCCCAACCCTTTCAAACAGCCTCCCACCTGAGATCAGAGGGATCCCTACCCCTCTAGCCTTCTGGAGGGTTGTGAAGACCTGGCTCTTCCCCCAAGCACTGGGCTAGGAGGGGTTGAGCTGTGAAGATATTTGGTCTGGTGCATGGGGGGAAAGATAGCTTTGTTTTTAACTATGTTTTATGGATTGTTGTGAGCTGCCTAGAGTCATTGTATGAGATAGGTGGCCATATAAGTCCTGTAAATAAATAATTAAATAAATAATCAAAGAATCCTCATGGTGTGCTTATGAAAAGTCACATCATCCTGTTAGAGAAGAATGAACAAAGACTTGCTTCCTTTCCTTTACTGTTGTAATGATATACTATGCTAAACTTTTTATTTTTTGTTTTGTTTTTGTCACTTTTTTGTAATAGCCCTTTTTAATGTTTTTTCCCCTTCTTCTTGATAGTGTATTATTATTACTCTGTTTTGTTTTTGTTTTTCTTTTTTTGTTACTAATTCAAAAGCAGTAAAAATTATTTTAAAAAAGACTTGCTTTCTTACCATCAGGAATGGAATGACTACAAGCTACAGTGGAATCCAACAGATTTTGACAACGTTACTTCTATCCGAGTACCTTCTGAGATGATTTGGATCCCGGACATTGTGCTGTATAACAAGTAGGTGATTCACCCAATCTGGGTGAATTGGGACAGTGAGTAATACCAATGTAGAGATCTCAACATTGCACTGAATCAAAAAAAAATTTTCTCTTAAAACTTAACATAGAAAGGACTAACGCAAAGGAACACAGAGAGGCAGATTTCAATAATTTTCATGAAATAATGCAGCTGAATGAAGCGTAATGCAGAGCCATAATATGCACCGAGAAATGGAGACAGGGTGTTGTTAGATATTTTTCAACCATGGCGACAAATATGGAGACAACCTATGTCTGCTGATGTAACTCCAACCTTCTGCCTGTTCTGTGTCTGAATGGATGCTCCTTGAAACTGGATGTTCACACTGAGCATGTTGAACCAAACAGCCACAAATCTAATGGCTGCATTGACATCAGATGCTAAGTTTGGTTCTCTTGACCTTCACTAAGTTTATTTGGGGGCTTAATGTATGATGTAAATCCAGGCCATTGCGTGAGTTTGCAATTGTATATATAACACAATCCAGAGAATGGATTAATTCTGTAATTAGTTTAAGCATGTTGTGTGAACACTGCCTGAGTAGATTTGTGGAGTGATTGCCAGCTGCTCTGCTACTACATACTGGGGAGCAGAGTGGTGTCAAGAAGAGATAGAGAATTGCAAGGGGCAGGTTAGGTCCCTTTTTGCGCTAACTTAACTTCAAATGTTGGTTTCCACATAGCTCCAAATTTCATTCAGCCCAGCCTTGGTGCTGAGTGACTTGTCACATGAATGAAGATCAACAGCAAATCTGAATTTCAGGGAGAGAGAGAGAGACTCCTCCATTTCCAGGAGCATCTACAAGGAGAAGCAAAAAAAGTCAAGATGATGGTCATGACCATGTGATCAAAACCCTACTACTTTTTAATGTGTTGTACAACACACATAAAAAAAAAGGTGGGGTTTCAATGACAGGATCATGACTGCCCTCTTGATTTTTTTTTTTAACACCCATGGATACCTCTTCCCATTTCCCCAAAGTGTGGCTTCCTGCACCTCAAATTTAGGGACTGGGAGAAGATTGCTTTTGTGGGATGTCATGGCTTTCTGGTACATTTCCTTGGCATTCATCCATCTTCTTGTATACAAGTTGAGAGGATTTTAGAAACGCAAGTGAAATATAGGCGCCTTGGCAGCATCCTATGTACAGTACAAAATAGCTACGTGGAAGTTCACTTTCTTAAACTCAAGATAAACTCTTCCTGTGTGACTGTGGGAGCTTAGAGCCAGAGCTTCTCAGGGCAGAGATGACATAAGTTTGTATGCGTGCACGCACACACACACACACACACACACACGCATGTGTTTATCGCTTTGAGGTAGGCCAGGTCAGGAAACAGACACCACAAGAAATACTAGAACTCTACTTTATTGATATTGGCTATAATAACAGAATCTTGAAAGCCTGTCAGATTTCCCTTCCCACTCTCTTACACCAAAAAGAGTCAAGGCAGGGCAATCTTAAGTTTCTTTCTCATGCTTTTTTGTTTTCCTGGGCTAAGATTATGTTTTACTCATGGTTGTCTCTTACCTTCTCCAAGGTCACCTCTGTGTTCCTCTACATTGTGGGTGTGTGAGACAGAGTGATTGCTTTTGTGCACTCTTAACTGTTATTAATTTTACTTGTTAATTTGGATTGTGGATGGACCATGCCCCAATGGGGCACACATTGTAAATGAAATTTATGCCCTTGTTTGTAAATGAACTTGTCCTAAAATCTTAACAGATTTATTATAGCAATAGTCCACTGAGGGCTGAGCAAAAAGACACGGAGACAGAAAAAAATAATATATATATATACTTCATTAGAACAAGCCCTACATATTTCATTCTTGATAGGCCTTCATTATGGACAATCTTATAAATATTTAAGTCTGCATCCTAAAATAAATAAATGAAAACATTAAATAAATAAGTAAAAATAAATCTTAGCTAGTAAGAGGAAGAAGACCTCCAACCATGAATCATTCCAAAAGCATCAACCATCCTTGCATTCTTAGTAGAATAGCAACACATCTGAAATATAAACACATCTACAAGTTATAGACATCCTGCAGTCAAGCAGAATTATGCAGGTGTAATATTGCATAATCTATATCCCTCCCCACCAGCTGTAGACTTCAATAAATGGTATAGGGGAGAGAGAGAGAGACATACAATGGTGATATGAAACAGTGAACAGTAAGCTCTAGGAGAAATGAAATGCAGAAGATGCAGAGAGTAATTATTACTTAGATAGTGCCATTCAAAAAACTTGCAATCATTCTTGTACTTGTACAATATGATAAGAATGATCATTTGTTTATTCTAAAGAAACGTCTTAATAAGATCCCTAACCTTAACACATTCCAGCTCAGCTGTTTGCAATGTGTAGCACAATTTGCTCCTTGTAACTCATGGGATACCATTAGGCAAACTGGGCATTCATCTTATCCTGCAGATGCTGAACAGCAGCAATAAGGTATTGAAAGAAAGCTCCCTGGCATGCAATTTATCTTGGACCCTTCTCTGGTTGCTTGCAAAGCTTAGGTGCTTTGGAGCCTGTCTCATGTCCAGTGTTAAAAAAGTTCCAACTGCAGTTGGCTTTTGTACACAGAATGGGAAGAAGCCCTGATCTTGCTTTTTTCCTCTAGCAGCAAAATGTTGTGAGCCGGCCCTGATCATTATGGCTACCATATCTGAATTGCAAACATTTGAATAGCCACTACGTGGCAGGAAAGAATTCTTTGTCTCTTCACTGACACCTGTAGTTTTATAGCCCAGATATGTTAGTCCTACGTTAGTTCATATCATTAGTGAAAGCTTCAGCAGGTGGTAGTACAGGCTGGCCTTGTCTGGGCTTGGTGTCTAAATAGGGGCTGACCTGGTTGGGAGACCACTAGGTCTGTGAGAATGGGAAGTAGAAAAATATTCTAGGAGAAGGCTAGGGGAAGCCACTTCTGTACCATTGCCAAGAACAGTGCATGGATGTATCCATGAACTCACCAGCAGTTGCTTGACTGAGAGTCTTACAAAGGCAAACTGGCACCTTGAAGGTGTTGCAGATAGGTGCTAAATTCACGTTCCCATGTTGTGGAAGCTGAATGTGAAATATCCTTTGGAAACAGAGGCCAAGGTGCTACATAGCCCTAGTTGGCCACGTTCAGGGGCTGCAGATTGCAGATCATTGTTGAGAGAAAATGGGAATAAAAGGGGAGATTCCTGATGGAAGATTTGACTGGAACCTTGAAAACTGGAACTCTACTTGGCGACATTGTTCTGCAGAATCCACTTTTTTAGACCTAATAGCGAATTGCTCAGAGGCAATATATTGATTCAGGCTGCACCCCTACTACTCTCCTGCTTCAAAAGTGGCCCACTGAACATAGTGAGACTTTCTGTCAAGTGAAATATTTTGTCAAAATGTGAGAAGTTTCGGATGAGGCATGCTGCTTTTATGTCTCAGTTGTTCCCTTCTTATCCTGCTTACCAGAAGCATCTGTCTTCTGGTGGAAACAGGATGTTAGGTTAGAAGAATCTGTGGTTTGCTCCAGCAAACCATACTTTACCTGCATATGATCTCTCCTGCTTCAAAAGTGGCCTTGAGCAAAGTCTGTGGCCTCTGCAGTTCCAAATTTGTGATGTGCTTTGGATTTATTCTTGAAAACATGGCATAATTTTAGCAGGTTTGGGTCTTAAGGAATTACTTTCTGCAATCACATTGCATGCTCAATATGAAGATGTATCCCATTTTTGACTGCTGCCGAAATGTTGTATTCCCTCAATAGCAATGCAAACTTGAAGGATGATGCCCAGCCTGTTCTCCCCCAAGGAATACTGGCAAATATCTTTTTTGTTAGGGGGGTCTGTGTGCAGATCTCAATTCAACCCAAGAGGAATGGCTTTCTTCCATTTGCTGGTATTAGGCTGCCATCAAATGGCTTTCATGAACAATGACAGTTCTGATTTCAGTTCTAGTCTATTTAGTCCCAAATCTTTGAAATTTTCTTAGTTGTGGGCAGGGAGGGGAGTGAGGAGGACAGCATATGATGGGAAGGACAGTGGAAAGGATTGTCCAGGATATACATAAATGTACCACCAGAGATGGTGAAGAGAATATCAGGGCATGAATTCTTAAACTATGCAAATTATAAAGTCCTTATGTTTGAATTAATGTAATATCGATTTGTGAAATGTGCAAACCTGCGTGCTTTCTGCACAAATAGCCACATCAGCTCTAATCTGCCAATGTTACACATCAATATATTATTAACCTACACAAAAGGCATCTCTTAAATGTGCATTACAGTTGCTGTAAGGCTGGAATCAGTTATATTTTCTGTTCCCCTTTGAAGGTCAACCAGTTGAGATAATTTGATATTTTTGACTTTCCAAAACATTTTCAGTAGCTCTTCTTTTGTTTGAAAGTTGGCAATTATACTGCTGATTCCCTAAGACAAGCATCTTGTAGGGACCCCAATCTCTGTGAGATGGATTAACCATTGGGATTTGTGGTAGAGGACAGCCTTGGGATGAGGAAGGTCACAGGTTTGGTTACCAGCATTCCCAGGGAGAGCTCAGAAACTGGTCTGAAATCCCATAGGAGTAGTGTAAAACATTGTCCCTGAACTGGAGGGTCAGGAAAAGCTGATGTCAACAAATCTGAGCTAGATGGTTTGATGATCAGAGCTTGCACAAGGGCTAATAAATATGAATTCTACAGGCTGCTATTAGAATGAATAATGATTACCAATCTGATGTTAATCTACCCAATTTTTCTTTAAGTGTGGTTTTCAGTTCCAAAGTCATCTTCAGGCTTTCTAAAAAGACAATTTCCATGAAGCTATGATAGTAGCCTCAATGAAACCTAGATATATTAACTTCATCCTCCTTATTTATTACATGATCAAAGCCTTAGTAGTTACATTACCAAGGCCAAATACATCATCAAAGCCCATTCTTATAACATTACCAAAAGATGACTTATACTTAACCCTTAACCTAGGGTTCAAAATATTGCATAGATGTATTTTCTTATTAGCAATTAATATTAGCAATTAATGTTTATTATTAGCAATTAATTGTATTAGCAATTAATTAGCAATTGACTAGCTAATTAATTAGCAATTCACAATAGCCAATTAATTAGCAAGGTATTTGCAATTCATATTTGTGAACAAAGAAAGATGGGAGTTTCAACTCTCTTGTTTGGGGGGAGGGGACTGTCTGGTTCCTCAAAGTTTCTGTCACAAGAAGTCAATATATTAGAAGGCTTTCTTGATTGGCTTTAACTCAGTAGGTTACAATGGTGTCCTCACAAAATAAATAAGTTAGATGTTATAATGCCTCAACATGCAGAAGTATGTTTAAGGTTACCCAATCTCCTCTTTACTCCTCTCTTCTCTTCTCTCAAGTGCTGATGGAGAGTTTGCTGTCACACATATGACAAAGGCTCACCTCTTCTCCAATGGCAGTGTGAAGTGGGTGCCACCAGCCATCTATAAGAGTTCCTGCAGCATTGATGTAACCTTCTTCCCCTTTGACCAACAGAACTGCAAAATGAAATTTGGTTCATGGACTTATGACAAGGCCAAGATTGACTTGGAGAGTATGGAGCGCCATGTGGACCTTAAGGACTACTGGGAAAGTGGGGAATGGGCCATTATCAGTGCAGTGGGCACCTATAACACCAAAAAATATGATTGCTGCAGTGAGATCTACCCTGATATCACTTATAGCTTCATCATCCGTCGCTTGCCACTCTTCTACACCATTAATCTCATTATCCCTTGCCTCCTAATTTCCTGTTTGACCGTGTTGGTCTTCTACCTGCCGTCCGACTGTGGTGAGAAGATCACCTTGTGCATCTCTGTCCTTCTGTCCCTCACTGTCTTTCTCCTACTTATTACTGAAATCATTCCATCCACTTCCCTAGTTATTCCGCTGATTGGTGAATATTTGCTTTTTACCATGATCTTTGTCACCCTCTCCATTGTCATCACAGTCTTTGTTCTCAATGTCCATCACCGCTCACCTAGTACTCACAAGATGCCACACTGGGTCCAGACCGTTTTCCTGGATTTCATTCCCCGCTGGCTCTTCATGAAACGTCCTCCAGTGATAGCTTCAGGGTTGAGGGTGACTAGTGAAGAAGTAATTGCGCAATATGACATGCCTCCAGTAAATCTTAGCACTTCTCGGTGTTGGCTGGAGACAGATGTAGATGACAGGTGGGATGAAGAAGAGGAAAATCATGAGGAGATGATTCATGCTGGCCGACTACCCCTCCAAAGCATTTGTCATCGCCAATGCCTTCAATATCGCTACACCTGTGCTCGACATCTGGGAAGAAGATTTGTGGAACTGGTTCAGCAACCAGCCACTACCAAAGCAGAGAGTTCAGCCTCATCTGAGCAAGGCATCCAGCTGTCTCCAAGCATCTTGAAGGCCCTGGAAGGGGTGCACTACATAGCAAATCACCTACGGGCTGAGGATGCAGATTTCTCGGTGAGTCACTGAGCCTAAGATACCAAGAACTGCTTTTCTGGATTAGAACTTTGGCCCACTCAGTCCACCTTTTGTCATATATCCCCAGTCCTGAGGTATATTGCCTCAGCTTCCACTTAAATCATGTGGAATCACTTAAATTCAGTATTCAGAAGACTTGTCTCCAAGAATGTTCTTAGTCCTTTTCTGAGAGTCTAAGATGGAGCTAGATTCAAGTGAGAAATCAGCCTAGCAGAATGGAAGGATAGGAGGAGGAAGCAGAGCCAGACATGCTAGATAGCCTTGTGTGAAAAAAGGGGAAAGGAAGGAGCATAGCCAGAATTAGTGAGAAATCTGTGATTTGATCACAAATCACAATAATTGATTCAAGGAGAAATATTTCATGAACCTCCCCCACTGCGCCCCACAATATGCTTTGTTTTTGCTGACTCATGTAACTTATTCTACAGTATTTTTATTTGTGCATAAGATCAATTAGGTTTAATGGGCTTATGGTGATTCAATCTGCAATGGACTGCACTGTTAATTTACGATTCCATTGTCTGCCAGATATGGCATGCGGTATTCTTTTTAACCTTTGGAGCTCCTTCCAAATGAAACTTCATTGGCATTTTGCAAGATATTCCTTTTCTTTCCAGAAAAGTCAACAAATTGAAGTCACCCATTTCACTGTGAAAGGGCTTTCAGGTCACCTGGAGGTGTGTATGTGTGTGCTGTGGCTGGAGGGATACATAAAACTTTCTTGTTCCCACCCATCTTCCTGGAGGAAGGAAATATCTGGACTAGGCTTTTTCTTAATACTGACTTGTGAGAGAGACCTGGGATTCTTAGCAGCCTAAGCAAATTACTCACCCATAAACTGGGAATAAATAATGCAACTCTGTAGCATCACCTCCTGGTTCTAGTAGTTTTGTGGTATGTGGCTAGAGAACAACAATCCTTTCTCCTTTGGATGAGATAAAAACTGAAGCATGATTTAAAAGTGAGTTTTATTAAAAATAAGAAAAAGAAAAATGTTCTTTTAACTTGAGATAATTAAATGCTCAATTACAATTGGGTAGAAAAGGCATTCAGTGCTGATAAAAATGCCACCAGTAGCTCAAACATCAGTCTCTCCTCCTAGGCATCCATGGTGGGGTGGTGGTGGGGTGGGGTAGGGTAGCTAGATATAACTGGAGGGGCAGTGGGGTGTCAGACATCCAAAATTGGCCTCATCAAATTGTTTCTAATCTTCCTGGAAGTCTGCTGGAAGTGGACTCTTATGCTGTTACCTTTATCCTGAAGAGTCATACTAAACAGACTCAAGGCTCATCTTCACAACCTTCTAATTATGGCATAAACATGCCCACTAGCCATTTTTAAATATCATGTCCTCATGATGTTGCTTTGGTCATATCCTCAGCCCACAGCAGAAGCAGTTTAAAGTTGCCTGGAGCTGTTCTAGTTTTGAAGTAGTGTTTTCCCTCTTTCCCCAATACTGTTTTTTGGTCACGGACACAAATAGGATAGGTCACAGCCAATGTGGTCAATGATGTTGTCAGTGGCTGGGATCTGCCCATCCACAATTGGCCACTTTGCCTGATGTGACATGCCCCTTTCCCTCAGCCCTTGGGCATCTTCCTTCATCATTCTGCTTTTGGCTTGAGGACAGCTTGGAAACTCCCCAGCCAGTTCTGCGGGAACTGACCAGTGGGCTTACTCAGGCAAAGCCACAATCCAGTTTAACCATCTCACTTACTACGGTTGTCGTTATACAGCCAGCGTAGTAATCAATTAAAACTGGCTCCTGATTGTCCCTGACAGCTGTGTGTGTGAGAGAGAGAAGAAAGTGTTGGTGTGAAAGAGGGTGTATGAAGATTCCCTCTCTTGTCCTACCATTTCAGACCAGCATGAATCCCCCCTTTCACTTGCCATTCCTCACAGCGTTGCCCACTTCTGGAAGCCCAGTGAAGCATGGAGCCTCTTGCTTTACCAGAAGGCTTCCTGCCATCCCATGGAACATGGATTGTGGTGGGAAGACTGACTAGTAATGCAAGAAATTCCCCATTCACACTCTGCAGATCAGCTTTCTACGTAGCAAGTGACACGGAGAGCAAGAACCCAACTGGTTCCCTCCTGCCTCGCTGGTGGCCCCTCCCCCTGACTTCTAAGCTTGCAACCTATCAGCCTGGCTATTTGGGGCATTACTTAGAGGCTTTTTGGATGCACCTCCCTACCTGTACCTTATCACTTGGCCAGTGGGAGGGAGTGCAGAAATGGGCTTCCTCTGTGCCCCTCTCCCCACCCCCCACCCCCGCCTTAAGGAATAGCTTATCCCGGCTCCTTCCCTTGGGATATTCTAGAGCAGTGTTTCTCAACCTTGGCCACTTGAAGATGTATGGACTTCAATTCCCAGCATGGCTGGCTGGGGAATTCTGGGAGTTGAAGTCCACACATCTTCAAGTGGCCAAGGTTGAGAAACACTGTTGTAGAGACATGTTAAAACCTGCCTATTGTGGAAGGCTTCTGGGGACAAGGCTGCTGAAAATGATGTGATGCCACAAATGACGGTTGTGGGAAGCTATATCATACTGTTTTACTGCATTGCCTTTATTAGAGATATTGTTGGGCTGTGAATTGCTTAGAGTTGATTGCAACTGAAGCAGTATAAAGACTCATCAATCAAGCAAGCAAGCAATAAAACTTGGAAGGTGGTTAAACCTTCTGTTCCAGGAACTCCTGTACCCCTGCCTAAAGCTTCCTCATCACACATCAGTGGATGTTTTCTGACCAGCAGGCAATGCTCAGTGGGAAGGGAAACAAGGCCAGCAGAATCCACTAACAGCTTTCCTTAACTGGTCCATCATTAAAGCAGTACCTCGAGGCAGAACAGTTGAGGCAGTGCCATTTCTGCTAGCAAATTTTTCTGCAGGCTGGAGGATAACACATGAAGGCAGTTGTGAAGGACACCTCTCAGCCAACCACAGTGGTCAGCCCACAGGGACCCCGTCCCTGAAATTCCTTCCTGAGCAAGGTTCAGCTGACCCAGGGGTGAGAAACACTTTTGGCCTGGGGGGGACCTATTGTAACTTCACACCCTGCCTGAAAGGCATGGCTGGTGATGGTCTAGAGAGGAAATGCAGCTAGTTTGCCCCTTCACCTCTCTCTGAACACCCATTGTGCAGGGATGAGGATATTAATCTGTATGACATACGGCACTCATTTTATCTCTTTAACTTTTTTTTTTAAAGTCTCCCCCCTCCACATTTCAGGTTCACCCAATTTAGATGGGACTGTGGGCTCCACATGAGGTGCTAGAGCTATACATCTCCCCACAGGTTACCAAAATCTTTCCCAGACAATTTTGTTTTTTTTAAATCAAAGCCTCCTAACTCCAAAGGAACCCAACTGACTGAATACTTTCATCCAGCACATTGAAGTTTCTACTCTATGTTCTGTAGGGTTACCAGATCTGGAATACCAAAATCTGGACAGCTACTCAATAGATAACTATGGGATATCCATAAAGTGCTACATTTTTGCTGCCATCTAACGCTCATCTGGATTTTTGCGGCCCAGTCCTGATAGTCTTATTTTCTATCTATTTTAACTCTGATGGATAATTATTCTGTGGTATGCCATATTGATACTTTTCTACCACAGATAGGACCAAGTTACTGATGCATTCAGGGTATGTTATTTAAGTTTTCCCACCCCAATCTTGGTGCATTCCAGTTAAGTTGGTGATTAGTTGCCCAGGTCATGATTTTTCACTTGGTTGCAGGTCAAAGAAGATTGGAAATATGTTGCCATGGTGATTGACCGCATCTTCCTCTGGATGTTTATCTTTGTCTGTTTGCTGGGGACGATTGGACTTTTTCTTCCTCCATTCCTGGCAGGCATGATCTAGAGTTGGTACTCAGGATGAAGAAGCTACGTTCTTTAAATATATCAACACCACCCAGTCTCCACAAACATGCCACACAAACTTCCATTCACCTTCTTAATGAGGCCAATAACAAGATCATCATCTTGTTCAGCATCTGTTGCCCAGAAATTTTAACATTAGGTATTTTCTCAGTTACTAAAACTACTTAAAAAACCAAAACCAAAAATCAAATGGGGAACAATAATGTGGAGGTTTTATGCACCTTGAGGTTTTATGCACCTATTTTACATGTTTTTGATTTGCCAAAAATCAAGAGAAAATCATGCCACCATTATCCAGCAGTATGATCTGGGGCAGCTCTGTGGGGCACAAAAGGGGCCTGTGAGCCACGTGTAGTGTAGTGCCCAAAAATTCTTGATGCTCTTGCTCATGGAGCTAGTCTGCTGTTATTCCAGAAAACCAAGGGTAATGTTAAAAAAGCTGGTTGCAGTGGAGAAATGTCATAGTGTGAGCTAGAATAATTTCCAGACTGGGAAAATACTTTGACTTAACTAAGAGTCTCCTTGTTAATTGCTGCTAAAGCAGCATTTAATTCCCTGAATTAGAAAAAAAATGTGCTGTTTCTGTGTTGAGGATTTATAAATTACAAGGATTTCTGGAGGTCCATGGGAAATATTTATTATTAATTTATTTGGTTTATACCTTACCTTCTTGCTCTGGCAAGCAGTCAGGTGTATAATATATTTTCTATTAAGGGAAAAAGTAGAAATGTTATTAAGATAGTAACTAGTCATCCATACCCTCTAGGACCCAATGTTTCTGCTAAATGCTTCTGACTTATTGAATCCTGGGTTCTGTTCCTTGGTTATGGCATAGCAACATCCCCCAATGTGACTTTTGTTAGATATGTTGGACTAAAATACTGATCAAAGGTGGTGCTGGCTGGGGATGATGGGAATTGTAGTATGGTACATTTGGAGGGCACCAGATTGGAGAGGGTATGAATGCTACATTAAAAAAAACAACAAGCTTGATCAAGTAACTCTAACTTATTCCTTGGTTAATTGCTACCATCATGCATGAAAATTAGATGACCTGTTCATTGGTGCAAATTCTCAGACCTGAGTCATATTGGATGTGTCATTTCCTGTTGGTGAAGCACAGAGGTTTCAGGTGTGCAAAGTCTCCTGTGAAATCATGCCAAGCACCCTCTTTTCCTAGGATGCTAAGAGACTAAGTTCTCCTTCTGTAATTTGTTTATAGGCTTCCTCTTGCCAGTTATACTCATCTCTGTAAATTGGGGGGCAGGGGACAGGAACGAAGTCTTGTTTTAAAAATCTGGCTTTCAGAATGTCATAGTCTGTCTTCAAATCTAAGAAAATCTTATGAGCATGAGGAATGCATGCAGTTTGTAGTTATAGGAACTGGAGTAACTTCTGAATAGCACAGAGACTTTTCAAAGATTCTGTTTTGAATTGGAGGCAAAAAGAAATATTTGCAAATATCTCTCTTTTTGGGGTGGGCGAATGGAGAGAACAGCCTTCTTTTTGGCTAGTTTTTCTTTTTGCCTTTTTACTTTTTCCTTTGCTGTGGTTCCCTCTTCCGGCAATCTGTCAGCCTTGATGATTGACCAGGAGTCTCAGTCTCCGTCTCCTCAGGTCCTCTTTGTCAGGCAAGGCAGATTCAGGGAGGACGAAGACAAGTGGAGCGTGCGCCACTTGAGATGGCTGCGAGCCAACTGCTGATAGCAGAAATAGTTTGCAAATCATTTCACTGGTACATCATTGTGCAATATTGGAGATAGAATAACATATTTACAATCTAATTTTTAAAATGCTGCTTTTGCAAAATGTCAGGAAGTAGATTTTGCATTCTTTTCATTGAGAACTCACTTCCCCTCCCCAAACTGGTGAGTAATCTTGCCTCTGTTGGCTTCTGAAGCAAAAATTTCACTTGAACTGTGTACTGGGTGGTACAATTAACCTCCTTGCTGGGATGCAAACACATGGGGATCCATACAGCCAATTTAGTCACTTTTTGGCCTGATTCATATATAAGTCTAAGCCATAATGCCAGGGCAGGCAATGGTTCTGGAGCCACTTTAAAATATTTGGGGCAGAGCATGTAGGTGACCAGTGACCTCATGTTGTCACTAAAATCAACAGGACCAAGCGTTTTGCTTGTTGGTGGTAAGTTTTAAGGGGCATTATGGATCTATAAATATTGTAGAAACATAAAATATCGATATTGTCCTTTTAATACCCCCCTCCCCCAGCAAACTTGGAAAAATGCTAAATTTTTTGTAGAGGTGATTAAGATCGATTTCACTGTTTAAAATACCCTCGAGCACTGGAAAAATGTCCAAAATCTTTTGCCCCACCATGCCATGTAGTTCTAGAGATTAATAATTTGTCAAGAAATTTCCAACAGCAAGTAAACATACCACATTTTAAAAAAAAATCTAGCATAACCAGCCTTGTTTTAATTGTTTCCCCCTAGCCTTTAAATTCTTTACTTGGAAAACCTGACCCTTAATTTGAGTCACTTGTATTTTTGTGCAGCTTTGCTATCTGCTTTAAGAATTTGGCGTTGGAGTCCGAAGTAATGTACATACACCCTTGCATTTGCCTAGAGAAGAGTTTATGGGGTCCAGAAAATAATTGGCTCTGCAGCTTGAGACAATTTGAGACTCTCAATACTGGGTTTGATGAGCAACCCAAAATGTGCATATATTCTAACTCTCCATGAATCTAGTGAATATAGCAGTGTTTCTCAACCTTGGCAGCTTTAAGATGTGTGGCTGGGGAATTCTGGGAGTTGAAGTCCACACATCTTAAAGTTGCCAAGGTTGAGAAACACTGGAATATAGCAATGTATCATAAGCAGGCTACGTATGATACGTTCGAATCAAAAGTAGCTTGGCCCTCTGTCAAAAGAGCTGGAAGTTATAATAAGCTGAAGCCTCAAGTAAATTTGTGCAGAGTTGTCACTGCATTCTGTAACCATAGTAGCTACATTACTATTGCATATAGTAGCTATTAAGTCCTTTGTCTGACATCCTAATGGAGTAATTATACCAGCAATGGCTCTCCAGGTTGCAGGCAGGGGGTCTTTCCAGCCCTAGAGCAATTTCAATTGGAAAATGCCAGGGACCAAAACTGCAGCTTCTTGTGTGCATACCGTAAAGCATGACACTGCATGATGGCACCAGATCAAGTCTCTAGCTAAGAAAAAGAGCCGTTCTTGATGAAGAAATGGAAGATCAGCCACTGGAGTTTTGTATTTCATTTATCTCAGGCAAAATAAACAACATTGCTTTAGTTTTCTGATCAAAACCCACATAGCAAACAAAGTTTTCTAAACTTGTTGTTTTTTTTCAAAACACATAAAGATAATATTATGAAGAAGTATGGATAAGCTATGCTGACCTCACCTAGGTCAAGAAATGTAAATACCTTGTCAATTTCTTAGGCACCTTCCCCAGCTCCCCCCTCCCCCCCATCCCTCCCTCTCTCTCAGGGATGGATTACCTGCATTCAGGACAATGGAATTACAAATATATTAATGGCTTCTAATCCTTCAAAGCATTGTTTTCAACAAAAACTTCAATTTTAGTAGCAAAATTTAAGCCCCATATTTATGAGGCATGTTTAATATCAATGGTTATCAGGAAACTTAAATTTTAAATTATAATTCAGTAGCAAATATGGGATCAGATCTGTGTTTGATCTGTATTCATAAGATCAGTGAAGGGAGGGAAGATATATGCATACCAGCCCTCAGCTGTATTGATGTTGTCATTTGCATCTAAAACTGCAGCCTTCTATCTAAAAAGCCAGAAAGACTGATGTGGCTACAAGTATCTTGTGGCACCTTTCAAATTAACAGACTTATAATGGCTGAAACACCTCCAACTTCTTACACTCTGATGCCCTCCCATGCTTCTTATGGCTTTATATATTTATTTGGAACTGCTTAATTGACAGAGAGATCCATTGTTTAAACTGGTTCAAAAGTCATCTCAAGTTCAATAAATGAGGCTATTAGGAGAAGAGGAATTAGGGAGGGTGCAAACATTCAGACATGGCCATTAAATATATGTTTCTATACAACATAGAAAGATGCAAACAGTCTCTTCTGAGGAACCAGTATCCCCATGGGAATATCTTCAATCAAAATAGATGAAGCAAGACCTAGCAAACATACTCTCCCACACTAGGCCTTTAGAGCCCTTGGATCAACCAAGGAGCAATCTTACCTGTCATTTTTTGGCTTATCCTGAGAACAGTGTAGGGGTTCACAAACCACCCCACCCACCCCTGCCTTTGATTCCTTTCACCAGTGAGACAGACTGTATCGCTTGATGCCAGAGGTACTGTCAAAGGAAGCAGAATGTATACAGAAGTCACTTTCTATGATGGGACTACTGGTGCAGATTCAGAGTTCAAAGTTTGATTGAAAGAATCCTCATCACAGGACTAGGATCCTATCATGCACACAGTGCCCCTTAGCAGCATTGTCCACAGAACACTGGAAAAAGTCTCTTCCCTGCCCTGAGCATGGCTTTGCCATTGCTCTCAGAAGACAGACATGACAAAATCAAAGACACAAGCAGTTTTTGGTGAGGCAGGGTCGGGGAGAGGATCTAGAAGTTGTAGAGGGATATTTAAAAAAAAGTAAGTCAGCCTTCTTGGTCACTCAAAAGAGACTTTCACAAGGTTGGCTCGCATCTTGGCTTGGTCTACAGCATCCAGGAGATTCTTTGCATCCACAGCCAGAGTATGTGAAGCCGTTAACATCTGGCGCTTGCATTCCTCGCTCAACGAGGTCATAGCATTCTGCTGAGCCAAACGCATCTTGTTGATCAGTTCTGCAAGGTCCTTATTTAGGAGCTTCTGGGTACCCTCAATCTGCCAATGGGAAACACACAGGGATAGGTAGCAATTAAATCCAGCATTATTTCAAGGCCATTTTTAATAGGGTGTTTTGAGACAAACCCAACCACCTGGTTTGGTGAAACA